CGGGAAGCCTGCTTCTCCCTCTCCCACTCCCCCTACTTGTGTTCCCTCTCTCGCTGTGTCTCTCTCTGTCAAATAAATAAAATCTTTAAAAAAAATAAAATAATAAAATCTTAAAATGATTTTGACCCTATCCCCTTTCTGGAAAATAAAAACCTGATTGTTGATAGCTAAGAAAATTCCAAGAAGTGTAATAAGGTTATATCCAAATCACGTCACCCTTGTTCCTGGCACTTAGATTTTTCCCAGGCACTGTTGTTACTTTCGAAACCATGGCATAACTCTTAGTCTCCTACCCACTGTTTTTTCCTAACCTCCCACACTACTGCATCCTGGCTGCTTATTAGAGTCACCTGGAGAGCATAAAAATCATAAAAATAAATTAAAACTTTTTTTAAAGTCCTGAGTCCCAGCCCCTATGATTCTGATTCTTAGGTGTGAGGTGGGGGCCCAGCCATGTTAAGCATTCTCCAGGGGACTGTTACATGCAGCAAGGGTAAAGAATCCCTACACTAGAAAGATGGTGTTGCGCAGAGGCAAAGTCTGGGCTTTGTAGCCAAGCTTTGGTGTGGGTGGCGGGGGGTCCTTTCTCTGGTCTAGTCCATGCCATGTACATATTAGTGCATAATGCAAAGCCCACCAGGGCCTCTGATGTGTCGGTGACTGGTTTTCTCTGGCCTTTGGTCTAATTCTCTAACCTTTTGTTCCTGAAGCATCTTGCACAGAGCCTAGAATTCCATTGAGCAGATGCCCTCAGGAGAGTGACCTGTCCTTCCTCTCTGGACGACTCAAGCTAGACCTGAAGCTGGGTGACCTGGCTGAGCCTGGGGTGATGTGGGATGTCCTAAAGCAAACTGGTGGCCCAAAGGAGAGCCAAACCTTACAGTCAGCCAGGAGCCCAGTTATGGCTCCCCTCCTCCCTGCCCAGGCTCCCTCCAAATAAACAGCGTTGATGGTGCAGGGAAAAGGTCACATTTTCTCCACAGCTTCCTCTTGCATATTGGATTTGCTAGTAACTGCACATGTTTAAAAGCAGAGTTTGCAGAGTGAGACTTCACAGATGCAGGTTTGAATTCTAGCTGTGTCCTTGAGCAAATCACTGAAACCATTCTAAGTCCCCTTCCCCTAATTTGTTTGTTTGGGTTTTTGTTTGTTTAAGTAGGCTCCACATTGGAGCCCAATGCAGGGCTTGAACTCATGACTCCAAGATCAAGACCTGAGCTGAGATCAAGAGTTGGGAGCTCAACCAACTGAGCCACCAGGCGCCCCTACCCTCCCCTAACTTGTAAACTGGGCCTAATAACACCTACCTCATAGGATTAAAGGAGATAATGTGTGCAAAGGGCTTAGCACAGTGACTGAAACATAGTAAACACGTAGTGAGCCTTCTGCAGGCACAGTCTAATCCCACGTGGGAGGCATTAGGCACCGGGAGGGGACAGGCCGGGGCTCCCTCAGCAGGGTGTCTGCACGGAGGGCCTCCAGGGCCAGGAAGGTGGAGCCCTTTCCCCACACGAGGTCACGGAGTACAGTTGGAAAGCTGGGACTGTAATCGCCTTTTAAGGACAAAGCTCCCGATCTCCTCTCCCACAAGCCGCAGCCTGCTGCCTTTGCACACACTCCGGCCATTTTTCCTGCCTTCTTTGTTCTATTTCCGTGCCTGTGGGGGTGAAGGAAAGCTGCTGCCTTCCTCAGGTGGCTATTTAGAGACATTCTGAAAGACGCGGCCACGGTTGCTCCTAGCGCCCAGCAGTGCGGCTCCTGGCCGTGCGGCGGCCCCCTCCACGCCTCGGGCGGCATGCCTCCGCCTGAGGTAGCCCAGGGGCACACAGTAGGTGTTGTGTAGCTAAGTCCCATCGCCTACTTTTTGTCTAGGACTCCTGAGCTGTCACCCCTACCAGGAGTTAACCGCACTGGCCGTCTTGCTCTTTGTCCCTCAACTGCCAACCTGCGTACGTACCTGTAGCATTTTTGGCACTTGACCAGTTAAAATTTTTCTCCTTATTCTTCACTGAAAATCGCGCGTGATACTCCCTGCATCCCCATCCCACCCCTTCTCCAATTTGCACTCGAGAGACCCTCCCCGTTTAACAGCCAGACCCAATCTAGAAAGGGTAAAAATGCCATTTATCTCTAGGTCTAGCAGAGAAAAATACTTTAGAAATAAAAAGGGTTTTGAAAAGCTCAGTAGCCTCTGGTTAATCATAATGCTACCCTGAACTTCAGCATGTTTGAGATTCTCTGTCAGGCATGGATAGAAATCTCTTAGACATTAGTAATCCCGTCTTTCTTTGCCGACCTTCCCCTCGCTTTCAGTGAGGTGTCTCAAAAGCCCAGACTTTCTATTTGAATCAGCCCTAATTTCTTTTTCATACACCCATCAAAGTGAAGGTTTGGGTTTTATCAGTAAAGCATTTATTCTTCTTGAGGCCAGAGCTCCCTGAATGAGGTCCAAATTGTCTACCTCCATTATGCTTCTCCAATGTATTTGTTTCCTGCCCATTATCTTAGAGAGGCTGCTTGCCTCCAAGACCTCAGAGCCTGGTTTCTGTCTGCTTGCCCTGCAGAGTGCTTTCTGGTGCCCCCAGCCCTGCGGAATAGCGCGGTCAGTGTTCCCAGTCGTCTGGGACCCGCGCTGGCCCCGCTTCTGCACTCAGACTGCCTTAAATCTCTTTACCTCCTCTTACATCTTTTCTTCTAATTCCTCTCCATTTATTCGTCTTCCTGACATCTTTGTTGTGGGCCTCTGCTCGCTTTCATTTTCAGAGCCATGCCTTTCCCCTCATTTTCTTGGCCCCGTGGTGGTAAACCCAATTATTTCAATGTCAGAATAATAATAGCAACAATACTTTGAATTATATATCCCTTGGCTTATCATAGCAGAGTACTCTCACACGAATTATCTCTTTTGATCCCACAATCAACTTGTAAGGTAGGCAGTGTGCTTTCTGCTTCCCACTTCGGCAGAGGGAAAATAATAACCACTTGGAGGAGCAGAATAGCGTAGTAGTTAATAAAGAACTTTGGGCCCAAGCAACGCTTGGAGTTTGAATCCTGGCTCTGCCTGTTACTAGCTGTGTGGCCTGGGGCAAACTGGAGATAATAATGGTACCTCCCTCATTGTGTTGTGAGGATTAAGTGAGTGTAGATAAAATGCCTAGAACCATACCTGGCACATAACAGGTTTTATGTAAGGATTAGCTATTGTTATTAGACATTCACTTATTTCTTTGTCAAAAATTTACTACACGCCAGAGCTGCTCCACGCCAGGCTCTGTCCTAGGCCTCACTGAGAGAAGAGTAACAAGAAGGACACAGAGATTACAGTACTTGTCGGGGAGACTGACAGACCTCCACTTATTTAGCACTTACCATATGCAAGTCTTTGTGCTTGGATCTTTATAGACATTGACTCTCATTCTTACAACAACCTTAAAAGGAGGC